TTAATTATATATTATCCTTTCCATTTTTAATCATGTGGTGAATCAGAGATCCCAAATATTGTCCTATTATGAAACACCTGGAAATTTTGCAGGATATTAAAAAGAACATTTTTGATTGAAAATATGTCATAATAATGGGAATGCCCATTAGTCAAAATAAAGAAGAATTAAAAACCAGAATAGTGAGTTTGAGCTAACAGTACAGAGCTGTAGTCTTGTTTGATAACTCAATAAGCAAGGAAATGATATTTTAACAGCCAAGAAGGGATAGGAAATAAGTACTTAGGTCTTCATGAAAAATTTACAGTCTTCAGCAGATATGCAGAATAGAAGATGAAAAATTCTGTAGAGACTGCTATGAGGAGATGACAAAGAAACATTTTCACCTGCAAGGATTGTGGTTGGCACAGAAGCTCTCCCCTAAGATGTGCAACTATAGGCTTAATCTCTTACAGCTTTGGAGGGAGCCAAAGTGCAGTACCTGCTTAGTTCAAGAACTCCAAGAAAATAAAGGCAAGGCCCATTGTTTTTAATACCTCTTTGGCATCTCAGTATCAGACACAAAATTCAATACAAGTTTCTAAGTTTCTAACAAGGAAGAATTAATCGAAGATATTAATGGGCATTGTGATATAGAGGGTTAGACTACTGCTTGGGATGCCCGTACCCCATATTGGAGTACCTTTTTGAGTCCTGGTTACCCCGCTTCTGATCCAGCTTCCTGCTAATGAATTCTAGGGGGCAGCAGGTTATGGCTCAAAGGCTTTGGCCCCTGCCGCCCGTGTGGGATTCCTGAAAGGAGTCTGGGCTATCTGGACCTTAGTTCTAGACACTAGACTATCTGGGCTACTGGCTGTGGCCTGGCAGTCCTGTTTGTTGTGGGCATTTGGGAAGAGAACAAGCAGATGAGTAATCTCTTTCTCTGTCTCTGTCACTCTTCTTTTCATGTAAATGAACACAAGCAACTATTTAAAAATAAACAAATAATAGATTAAAAATAAAAATAATCCAAAAATCACAAAACACTAATAAACAACCCATCATGAGCATAAGCAGAGAAAACAGTTTCCTTTGTGGGGACTGAACTCAATGAGGCTTGAAATAATAGAATTATCAGAAAATGACTATAAAATATGTTTAAAATAAATAAATACAAAAAAATCAAAAATTAAAAAACATGAGTAATGAGTAAGATACTGTGTAATAATGAGCAAACATTTTGAAAAAATAATCAAATGGAATTTCCAGAAATGGAAATTAAAAATACAGTAAATAAATATAATATTGAGTAACTGCGTTAGATACAACTGAAGAAGAGGACTGGTGAATTAAATGAGAATCTGAGCACTTATTTGGTGGTAGCATAGGAGCATAAATATAATGAAAAGAATAGAGGGAGATTAAAACACATGAGGAAATATTCCATTATATCTTGTTGCATAGCCACAGCACAATAATTTGTCCAGATGGTTTTCATAGAAAGTTAGATTGTGCATTAGTTAGGATTCTTGAAGAAATAGAATCAATGTGGTTGTTTCTAAACTTTTGCTATTGCAAGGAATTCAGCAGAACAAGACCACTGTAGGTACATCATTTTGTCTATATGCCCATTTATGAATTTATTCATTCAATGCTTATTTATAAGTCGGCACTCTTTTCGGAGCTGTGGATACAATCGATAAGATTCTGTTTCTCTGAGATTCCTAATATGCCAATATAATGATATCTGGAGTGGACCTCTAGGAGAGAATTAGCCATGCAGGCAAGAGTCCTCCTGCATGGGATCAGTTTCCTCATAAACGAGGCTCCAGGGAGCAGCCTTGTGACTTCCACCAAAGAGGACACAGCAAGAAGGTGCCATTCAGGGGAAGAAAGTGGGCCCTCATCAGACACTGATCTTCCTACACCTTGATCATGAACTTCTAAGTCTCCAGAACTGACAAATAAGCTTTTGTCCATTTATAAACGAGCCAGCCTATGGTATCATGTTAGAACAGCCTAAAAATGCTAAGGCAGGGGATAGTTGTGCCACAGCGAGTTATGTTGCTGCTTGTGATGCCTGCATCTCATTTCAGAGTGCTGGTGTAAGTCCTGGCTGCTTTGCTTCCAATCCTACTCCGTGGGAAGCTGCAGATGATGGTTCAAGTACTTAAGTCCCACCTACATGGGAGGCCGATATGGAATTCCTGGATCTTGGCTTCTATTTGGCCCAGCTGTGGCTGTTGCAGCCTTTTGGGAAGTGAACCAGAAGATGAAAGATCTCTCTTTCCCACTCCTTCCCTCTCTGTCACTCTGCCTTTCACAAAATAAATAAATCTTTTTTAAAAAAAACTAATGTATATATTGTAAGAGGAGATTTATTGTACAAATTGGCTTGTGTGATTGTTGAAGCCAAGAAGTCCTACAATCTGCTGACTGAAAGCTGAAGAACAGCGATGAAAGCCAGTCTGAATCTTCAGTCTAAATCTGAAGACTTGAGAATTAGGAAATGATGGTACAACTTTGGTCTGAGTTAAAAAAAAGCCTGAGTACCGGGGCTGGTGCTGTGGCGCAGCGGGTTAACGCCCTGGCCTGAAGCACCGGCATCCCATATGGGCGCCGGTTCTAGTCCCGACTGCTTCACTTCTAATCCAGCTCTCTGCTGTGGCCTGGGATAGCAGTAGAAGATGGCCCAAGTCCTTGGGCCCCTGCACCCACGTGGGAGACCCGGGAGAAGCTCCTGGCTCCTGGCTTTGGATCAGCGCAGCTCTGGCCATCGTGGCCAATTGGGAAGTGAACCATCGGATGGAAGACCTCTCTCTCTCTCTCTCTCTCTCTCTCTCTCTCTGCCTCTCCTCTCTCGGTGTAACTCTTTCACTTTATCTCAAACAGAAATAGGAAAGTCATCCTTTTTCTAATTCAATATTTTATTCAGATCTTCAATGTAGCAAGTGATGTTCACCCATACTGGGGAGGACCCTCTGTTTACTTAGTTCACCAGTGGAAATCTTGACCTCTTCTGGAAACACCATCACAGATGTACCCAAAAATAATGTTTTACCAGCTCTCTGGACATTCCTTAGGCCAGTCAATTTGACATGTAAAATTAACTATCACAAATTGTTTCTAATTTTTTTTGTTACTGCAGAGAATTATAAAAAACAAACCATCACACACACATCATTTTGCCTGTATGCACATACATGGTTTTATTCATTTAACAACTATGGGTGAATCAGCACTCTATTAGGACTTGTGGACACAATAAAATGAACCCTGCATCCTTAAGGAGAATCTAATCTAATCAGCATAATAGAGAGCACAGCAGAATAGATAAACAAGAAACAAACAAGTAAAATACTGTATGTCAAAAAGCAATCAGTTTTGTTGAGAAAAAAAAAAAACAGGATATTGGAGAGAAATAATGTTGGTGGTGATGGTGGCCATTTTAAGGGAGCATCTTCCTGAGAAGATGACTAACTGAACCATGCAGATATCTTGGTAGTTAATTTCAAGATAGAAACAACAGCAAATCCCCCAAGATGGAGTAAAGTGGGTGAGGAAGAGAACAACAAGAGACAAAGCAAAGCCTAGCAAGCTGATGGGCTTGATGGCCGTGGTGGGCCTGAGTTAGACTGGCTTTCACTTTGAGTGAGGAAAGAAATTGTTGGAAAATCTGGGGCAATGTGATAATGTTCAAAGGTCATTCTATGAATCTACAGATAAGGATTCATAGAAGTGCAATGACTTGGTAAAAAGTATGTGAACTTGTAGTCATGCAGATTTGTCTTCCACATTATTTGATCATTTACACTTTAAAATCAGAAAAAGAAATATAAAAACAGTATTCTGAAAATAGAAATAGAACATCCAGTTTGAATTCTATACCCAGATAGAATGTCACAAAAGAACAAAGGTTAAATAAAAGATATTTTTAAACAATCAAGTACTGAGTATTCACCCTTAACTAGCTAGCATCAGAAATAGCTCAAAGACGTGCTTTAGAAAGGAGAATGAAACAAGAAGGAGGGAATTAAGAAATGTTGAACAAAGAAATAGTAAACATGAGAGCAAATTAAAAATTATAACTATAGGATAATAATAATGATGATAATTAGGATAGAAATAATAATGAATAAAATTCAGAGCCAGAAAAGCAGGTGTTAATAAATGTTTTATAATATTTCAAATAATGGTGGGAATCGGAATGAGATAGAAAACTGGAACTGAAGTATTATAAAATACTTATGATTGCAAGAAGGTAACTATATCAATTATAATTTGATATTGGAAAGTTAAGTTCATGGAAAAATCTCTAAATAACTAGGAAAAGAATAGAAATAGAATATATCAATTCCAAACTTTATGGACAAAAAGTAAAATTAATCAAATTAAAGAAAGGATCCGAAGGCAGGAGCCAGGTGCTTCTCCTGGTCTCCCATGGGGTGCAGGGCCCAAGCACTTGGGCCATCCTCCACTGCACTCCCGGGGCACAGCAGAGGGCTGGCCTGGAAGAGGGGCAACCGGGACAGAATCCAGTGCCCCGACTGGGACTAGAACCTGGTGTGTCGGCGCCGCTAGGCAGAGAATTAGCCTTTGAGCCACAGCACTGGCTAAAGCATGAACCTTAAAATGTGGTTCATGACTAGCGAGAACATATGTTCTGATTTATTCTGGAGAATCTTACTTTGTATGAAATTTTATGGTCCCACACTGGAAGGGAGTTGAGGTAGATTCGTTCTGAGAGGAGCAGTGTGGTGGGGGCAAGAAGCATGGAGTCACCACACAGACCCTGGGAGTCGGGTGAAAGCGAGCCAGAGGCAAGCAGCCCACAGACTCCTTTATTTCAGTTGGTACAGTGGCTTAAACAGCCAAGACAGCCAATCTGGTCAAGGGGCGGTTTATGCCCTAACCAACCACAGTCTGTTGCCAGGCAATATCTGAAGCCATCCAATCACAGCCTGTTGCCAGGCAGGCTCCATTGCCAGGTGGGTTTCAAAGTCATTCCTGAGTAACTGATGCTCACTTGCCAGCATCCATCTTGGCATGGCCTTCTCATTCCACCACAGAAAGGAGTTGCCTTCATGGACTCAAATTGCTTTAAAATACGAGTTGTTTTAGAGGCAAATAACTCTCCACTCCAGCTCAAAATCCACATGGATACTATCTTGATTCTTTTGCAGTATGGTTTATTATCACAAGTTTTAAAAAGTGTTCCCAGGAATTCTAACGTGTAGCCATAGTTGAGACTGACCAGACCAACTAGTTCAGCTTTCAAGCAACACGCAACAGTGTCAAGAAACTCCTCCTGTGCGTGTACGTACAGACAGAGCTGCAATTCTTTCAGGGAAGGACAAGGCTTCCTTACAAATGAACATATTGTCTTGATGTGATCATGGTTGTAAGTTGCTTGCTTTTTATGTATAAATTACATTAATGCAGACAGGAATTAATATCAGTGTATTAAAAACAAGATTCAGTTAAGTGATCTATTTTCTTTAAAAAGTTTCTTTATGCTCTTGAGTATATTTCAACAAATAATATACCAACATTTGAAATCATGAACTTACAGAATTTTTAACTCATTGGCTAGCCTCCAGGAGAAATATTCCAATTTGCCAGTGATTTTTTTGTATACTATAAATCCCTTTTTGTTTATGCCTGTTAGGATGATGAACTAACACTGGAAAACATGATTTTAGGATTCTTTATTTTGACATCATCATACCCCTAGACTCGGGGTTTTTCTTCTAAAGAGAAAGTAGAACCAAGGCCTCACCTAATTTCTCTTTTTCTGATCTGTGATCTTCTTAATGTATTTTATTGCAAACATTTGTGGAGCACAGTATGATAATTCAACTTATGTATTGAATGTGTAATAGATCATTTTGGTTAGTATTTCCTTCTCTTTAAATATTTCAATCTTTTGATTCATAGTTAATAATTGTACATATTTATGTGATGCAAACAATGTGCACTGATAAGATCAGGGCAACTAACATTTCCCTCCTTTTGTCATTTCTTCATTACTATTTAGTGCCTTCAAGTTCCTCTCTTCCATTAGCTCATAAAAGATACTAGTATAAGGCTAGTCACTCCACTGTGCTATGGAACAATAGCACACGCCTTTGTATCTTACAATCTCGTGGTATCCCCTTCTACCCCCGACCCTTCCTAACCTTTAGCAACCACTATTCTATATTCATACTTTCATACTTTTTGTTTTTCAATTTCATATGTGAAAAAGAACATGTGCTACTTGTTCCGAGTCTGACTTTTATTTTACTTAACATGATGTCCTCCATTTCCATCAATTTTGAAGCAAATAATAGGATATCATTCTTTTTGCTGGCTGAATAAAATTAGAGTTGGTGTATATACCTCATCTTCTTTATCATTTATCTGTTGATGGGCATCTTGGCTGTTCTCATATCTTATCCATTGTGAATGGCGCAGCAGTTAACATGGGTGTGCAAGTGCTGCTTTCATATGTTGAGGTCATCTCTGGATATATTTCCAGAATTGGGATAGGTAGCTTGTATGGTGGATCCATGTTTAGTTTTTGAGGAATTTCAATACTGTTCTTCAAAATGACTGTATTTATTTACAGGCCCAAAACAGTGTATGGGAGTCCCCCTTTTTGCATAACCTTATCAGCATTTGGGGTTTTAAAAATCTTTTTTGTAATAGTCACTATAACTGGGATGAGATGATATCTCACTGTGGTTTGGATTTGTATTTCCCTGATGCCTAATGATATTGAGCTTTTATTTTTTTAATACTTTTAGACTATTTGTATATCTTCCTTTAAGAAATAGCTATTTGGATCATATGCTCATTTTTAATGGGTTATTTGTGTGTTTTTTCATTGATTTTAAAAAGTTCCTTATGTATTTTGAATACCAACCTTTTGCCAGATGAATAATTTCAAGACATTTTCTCCCATATCTCAGTTGTCTCATCATTCTGTTGATCATTTCCTTTGCTGTGTAAAGTTTCTGAATTTCTTATGATTCCATTTGTTATGATCACAATTGCCTGTACTACTCTCTTACAGTGTTTCTCCTGTGTTTTCTACCAGTAGTTCCATATTTTCAGGTCTTACATTTATCCCTTTGATCCATTTTGAGTTAATTTTTGTAAGTGGTGAGAGGTGAAGAGCATGTGTGTCAACATCCAGTCATATATATATATATATATATATATATCCAGGTTTCCAACCATGGTTTACTGAAGTTTGCCCTTTCTATGTTGTATGCTTTTGGTATACACCATAGCATCATTTGTTATAGATGCATAGGCATATTTCTCAGTTCTCTATTCTTTTCCATTGCCCTAAGCATCTGTTTTTATGCTAGTACCATGCTATTTTGATTACTATAGCTCTGTAGTAAGTGTTGAACTCAGTATGGGGATGTCTCCATCTTTGTTCTTTTTTTTTTTAAAGAAGTTGAGCATTTTGTTAAATCCTTGCATAGTTTTTGCATAACACACATTTTCCATGAACTTTAGTTTTTTCCCAATTTTTAAAATTTATATAAGATAAACAAATTTTATGTATTTCATATATAGAAATAGCATCTCACCCCCTCCTTCCTTCCTTACTCTTTCTTTTAATTTTTACAATGACATACTTTAATTTACAATCATATGATTAACTCTCAACTAAGTAATGAATTGAAAAAAAACAATAACAACAAAAAAAACACTGTTCCACAACAGTAGCGACAAAAGCTGTAAACAATAATCAAATCTCAAAATGCCAATTTTGCTCATATACGTTACATTTTTTGCACTCTACTAGTTGCCGAAGATCAGGTGAAACATATGATATTTGTCTTCTCTGAAGACCCCTTCGTATTTGTCCTTCTGGGACTGGCTTATTTCACTTAGCGTGATGCCCTTTATATTTGGATGGTTCCTCCGAAGTCCCAAACTCCCAGATGTGCTTTTGCAGGTGGCCACAGAGAGGCGCCCAAGAGCAGTAAACCTGCTCTCCAGGGGGAATTTTAATCTCTGGCATTGTCAAGAGAAAAATCACTGAGTTGCTGTTTGTTTCGTTGTTAGCATTTGGGACTTTCCATGGACTTGCTTTTCTCGAGTCGCTGGGTAATCTCTATGGCATTTAAGGTGAAGGCTCAGGGATTGGGAGCTTAGGCAGGATCCCACGCCCAGCACAGCATCTACGATTAGTAGGAGCTCTACACTTGTGAGCTTTTACTGTTCTTTCTCTCTTCCCTGCCTTGCCTCTGTCTCTACCTTCACTATTTCTCATGTTCCCTTCCGAATGGTTGCTGTCATTGGGTCAAGGTATTTCTTAGGAATCAAATTACTGAAATTTCAGGGCAAGCACAATCCTACCAAGCAAAGAGGAATCAGACTATGCCCCTTGTCTCTGGGATGGCATACATAGGTGATCCCAGATAAAATTCCTTTTGAAATTTGAGCAGCATCCTGAAGCAAAAAGAAGTGGATTTCTTTGTTAGATCCCAGTTCAAATCCTCACTCAAACACTAAGTAGTTAGCTGTGTGACCTGAGGTATTTTCCCATAGCCTCTCTGAGCTGTTCTTTCCTTTTCCACAAAGCATAGGTAATAACTACTTCACAGAATGGCTGCAAGGATTAAATGAGAAAATGCAGGAAAGAACCCCACTAGTTCTTCTCATCTTATACATGTTGATGAGCTCTTTATAAAAAACAATTTTTAAAAAATTCTCCATAGGCTTTTGTTTGAGACGCTTATGGGTGAGAAACACAAACTTGACCTTTTAGTAATACTAAACTCTGGTGGCTCTGTGTCTCCCTGAGGAAAGGCATAGCATGCCCTGAGCCCTATGGGGTGGGCCCTCAGCCCCCGCTCACCCAGAGCAGCACAGGCCAAGGACAGCTGCAGGCTCAGAAGGAGCAAATCCCAGGGGGACCTGGGAGGGAGTTGGAGGAGAACGCTCATCAGCATTGCTTGCACTTGGGGCCACAGGCCAACTGCTGCTTCCCAGGGAAATTCACTTATGAGAAAAACTCCTGGTTGGACTGATCGGCCAGAAAGAGTTTAATTTAACATAAATATGTAGAGCACTTTTGCTTCCAAGTGTGCAAGTGATTCCAGAATCTCTTTGCTTCTGTATTATGTAAACCATAAGCCATAAATAAAAAAAAAATTAACAGAAATGTAATCAGGGTCCTCAAATAAAACCACACTTTTCTAAAGCTGTTTATGGGTGTGTGTGTGTGTGTGTGTGTGTGCAAAAGCATGCACAGGAAATAAGAAAGATGATAATTCCAATATTACAGTACTGGGAGTAGAAAAGATTGTAAAGGTTATTGATGATCTAGAGGCATCATAATTTGGCTTATGCCAAATTATGCCTTCCTAAACATAAATGCTTGACACCTGGCTCAGTGAATATGTTTCATTTTCCTTATCATGGGATCTTTGGTGGAGCCAAGATTCCTGTAGTTACACTTAGTGACGTACACCTGAAGTCTGCTCCCTAAGGGTAACCTATGGCAGTCTGCAGATCAGCAGCTCCCCACAAAGGAAGAAGGTCTCTGTTTTTGGTCAGCCAAGCATGTTTCCAGCTTTGATGGGTGACAGCCTGTGCCCCTCTACCTGGAATGCTCTCCCCTTGCTTAGGTACAGGTTCTAACTTTCCTGGTTCATTCAGCTCTCAGAGTAAATGCCATCTCCTTCAACCACCTTTCCTTGACTGTCCATTCTGCAGCAGCCCAATGGGGTCTCTCAATCATATCCTTATTTTACTGTCTTCAGAACATTTACTATTTTCTGACATTTCCTTTATCATTTGCTTATTGCTTGTCTCCCATTCACTATAATTTTGAGCTTAATGAGAATGGCAACTTGGTCTGTCTGTCCATCTCTCTCCTTGGCTCCTGATAGCTCCTGAGAGCTCCTGAGATGATGTCCTCCAATTACAGGAACTCAACAGATATTTGCAGGAAGTTGGAGGAAGACACTGTGTTTTCTTGCATCATAAACCCGAAGTGCTCAGAACATAACAGGAAGTGAAGGTAAGCATTAAATGTAGTTTATCTCATGCAAATTACACTACATAGTTCCGAATCATAAGAGAAAATAGAATACCTTTTTCCCTGAGTCTTAGAATTAATGGGTGTCTGTTTAAATGCTTCAGACACACAAAGCTTTGCCTTTGATTGTAGACTTTATGTAGTATGTATCTCCTGGATACTTTCAAAATGCTGTCAACTACCCTAGGCACTGGGTGACAATGAACAACAAGACCAAGTCCTGCCTCTCTCCTTGCTAAGGAGTTCACCGTTTGAAGGGTAGTAGACATTAGCCAAGGTCAGCACAACATAATGTGATACATGGCATGAATACATAAATATGGATGTTGTAAAAGCACAGGGGTGGTGCTTGTGGCTTTGTGAAAAATGTGGATATGAAATAATGAAGGCAGGGAAAATTTAATGGTTTTGAAAGAAATGCCTTAACAGTGATAAGAACTGATGGACAAACAAAATAAATAAACTTTTGAAGTCAAATTTAGCAAACCCCTGGACAGGCATGATGAGTGAGTCAACATCAAGCACTGACTGAAAGCCTCCTCTGTAATCTGGGAAACATCATGCTGAGTGAATTAAGCCAGTCCCAAAGGGACAAATATCATATGTTCTCCCTGATCAGTGACAACTAACCAAGCACCAAAAAGGAAACCTGTTGAAGTGAAATGGACGCTATGAGAAACAGTGACTTGATCGGCCCCTTTTAGTATTATTATTTTTGTTCTACTTAATACTATTGGTTGAACTCTTTATTTAACACACAATTATTCTTAGGTGTTTAAATTTAACTGAAAAGTGATCCATGTTAAATATAAGAGTGGAAATAAGAGAGGGAGGAGATGTACTGTTTGGCACATGCTCAATCGGACTTGCCCCAAACGTTAGAGTTAGAAACGTGTTCCAATTCAATCCCATCAAAGTGACATCTCACTAGTCAAAGTGATCAGTTTCAGTTCACAATTGATCATAATGATAGGATTAAGAGTCAAACTGAGCACATAAACAAGACTAGTGTCTGCTAATACTGATAGAATTAAAATTGGGAGAGAATGATCCAACATGGGAAGCGGAATACACAGCAGACTCATAGAATGGCAGGTGTCCTAAATAGCACTCTGGCCTCAGAATCAGCCCTTAAGGCATTTGGATCTGGCTAAAAAGCCCATGAGAGTATTTCAGGCATAGAAAGCCAAGACACACTGGCAAAAAAAAAAAAAAAAATGACCTAAATGAAAGATCTCTGTGAGTGAGATCCCAGTGGAAAGAACGGGCCAGCAAAGAAGGAGGTACCTTTCTGTGAAGGGAGGAGAGAATTTCCACTGTGACTATGAACCTGTCTAAATAAGAGCAGAGTTGGCAAACTCAAGAGGCTTCCATAGCTTTGGCAACTCATGACAACAGCCTACTGACATCATAAATAAGAGTGTCAATTGTTAAATCAACAATAGGAGTCACTGTGCACTTACTCCCCATGTAGGATCTCTGTCCTTAATGTGTTGTACTATGTAAATTAATGGTATAACTAGTACTGAAACAGTACTTTATACTTTGTGTTTCTGTGTGGGTGCAAACTGTTGAAATCTTTACTTAATATATACTAAATTGATCTTCTGTATATAAAGATAATTGTAAATGAATCTTGATGTGAATGGGATAGGAGAGGGATCAGGAGATGGGATGGTTGCAGGTGCGAGGGAGGTTATGGGGGGGGGGAGCTACTGTAATCCAAAAGCTGTACTTTGGAAATTTATATTTATTAAATAAAAGTTAAAAAGAAGAAAAAAGAAAAGAAAGCCTCCTCTGTGCCAGAACTAGCCACTCCAGAGGCTCACCGGTCCTCATCAGGCTCCGACTGCAAAGGCATATAAAGGAGCACAGGACTGTTCTGTGCCTACCTGGGGCTGCAGCTCTCAGTGATCCACAAGAAGACCTCCAGCACTTACAGGCTGCTGTATTTTATTCCGTGGGCATGCAGACATTCTGAACAGACACTTGGAGGAGGTTGAAATGGCGAGAGTTTGTCCGATAACTCAAGGGCCTCCCTAGCCTCTGGGAATTTCCTGCAAATCCTTTGGAGAGCCGTGCGCCTTCACTCACTTCTTCTGCAGCAGATACCTTCCCTGTTCCAAAGCTATCTATCTCTTTCTGTTTTGCATGCAACTCTTGGATTGGGCTCAAGTTCTACTGAGATCAGTAGGATGATCTGATTTATGACAACGGGGAAATAGGCTTTCAGTTAGTTTTTGAGTCAGAAACCTCTTATAACTCCAAAATAAATGGTGACAGGATGTGCAGTCCATGCCAAACGCCCTCTGTCATGTTGAGTTAGAGCATCACATTTAAAGAGATTGTTAATAGCATCTGCTCACTAAGGAATTTGCTACTTCCTTGCTTAGGAATGCATGAGACTGAATTCTTCAGAATAGCTACCTTCTCCTTTCTGGTTCCTTTTCCCAACCTTAGCTTTCTCCTCCCTGTCATCATGGTTTGAGTTCTAGTGATTTCATGGAGAATGATGGAGTCAGACTCTGCTGTGACTCTCCAGGCACAGTCTTTCTGACTGGTGCCTCCTGCAGTTCTTCCTGCTCAGGCCTGGCGGTGATGGTGGTGGGGTAGTCACAGGGTCACCAGCACCCTTGGTAGAGATGAGGGAATCAAACTGCTGCTAGGGAGACCCCAGGTTGCACAGTGCTCTCACCTGTTCCCCCAGTGCCAAGGACACGTCATTCAGCTTTGGTATGTCCTTGGAGAACTTTCTGACAATGTTTCTTCCAATGATCCAAGAGACAGAGCTCCAAATTTTAGGGTTAGCAGTCCCAGGACTGAAAACCAATGCTTCATGAGTACTGATGGGAGAAATATTAAGAATGCTTTATCTTGACAAGCAGGAAATATCCACGGGTCCAGTGAAGATTTAAATATAGTGTCTAACCTTATTAAGAAGAGATTGGAGATATTCAGGCCATGTCACCAAAACTTTGAAACCAATGTTCTGGAGATTAACTCCCACAGATCTTGCCAAAAACAGTTATATGGGTTAAAGTTCCTATTGAAAACTGGCATTTGAGAACGGGCAAGGACTTCTGCCTAAGAGTATTAGTTACTTTTTTATTTAGAGTGAGTTATTACACTTACTTAAATAGAGAGATGAAGACAGCAGCAGTTAAATCATGAAGAACTACTCCCTTCTCTTTCCAAATACATCTCACCCTGACTACAACATCACCACCACACCAGGGATAGCTGCTGCCGTCATCACAGATCTAACCCCAGGCAGGTTACTGAGAGGTGTGATGTCCCTTAATTATTACAGAAAAACCCATGAAGCACACTGAATTGTCATTTCCACTTTACAGATGAGAAGAGTGTCCAAAAGGTGATATGACTGGCCCCAGGTCACACTGCTATGAGATCATAAAGCCGGTCCCACGAGGCCTTGTGATTTCGAAGACTTGCTCTGTGGAATTACATGGCCTTCTCTTAACGAGTAGTGATGAGAACTGGGCTCTTCCACTTTCCTTCCAACCGCATTCCCAGGCCTTGGGGTGACCTCTGGCTGGGACTGTGCATGTCCAGCTTTCTGTGCTCCACTGATGGACTCATCGTATATGTATCCTATGGCCTTCCTTAAACATAAACACACACAAAACAAATACCAGAGCAAGACAGAATCTAACTTTGTCCTCAAAAATTTCTCCCAAAAGAATGATAAATGGCGCTGCTTGGCATTATACTAACTTGCCCCCCTTCCATTACTTGCTTATGTGGTCGTTTTTCCTTATCCTGGTCCTCACTGAAAAGCCTGTTGGAGTTTACTCGAAACCTAGCAAGTCTTAGGCTTTCTTTTGACCTACTCCTTGGGAACATCTGGCTCCACGTATCTCCTACTGGTGAGCCGAGTAGCCACATTTTTAGCTGCAGCCCCAAGAATCAGAGTCAGTCTTGATTTAGGCCCAGACATCTTTTGTCTAATTTGCTCGTGAACTCAGTTTCCAATTAGCCTCTGGCTTTTTCTCTGCCAGAATTATCTGCATGGAGGTATACCAGATGCTCCTATAGGGCCTTGCTTATGTAGGTTAAATGGTTAATGGTGCTGGCCTTTGTTCTCTTCTCATTAGACCATGGTTCTTTTTTTTTTTTTCTAAATATTTGTTTATTTTATTTGAAAGTCAGATTTACAGAGAGAGAAGGAGAGGCAGAGAGAGACAGAGAGAGACAGAGAGGTCTTCCATCTGCTGGTTCACTCCCCAGTTGGCTGCAACTGCCGGTGCTGCACTGATCCAAAGCCAGGAACCAGGAGCTAGGAGTCTCCTCCAGGTCTCCCATGTGGGTGCAGGAGCCCAAGGATCTGGGCCATCTTCCACTCTTTTCCCAGGCCATAGCAGAGAGCTGGATTGAAGTGGAGCAGCCGGGACTCGAACTGGCATCTATATGGGATGCTGGCACTACAGGTGGCGGCTTGACCCGCTATGCCACTGTGCTGGCCCCTAGACCATGGTTCTGAGGTAAGGTCAGATTCTTAGGCTGGTAGTTCGGTGCTTGACCTAGGCCTGACATGGTGGATGTGAGTGGGAAGGAAGGAAGGTAAGAGGGGTGGAAAGGGAGGGAGGGAGGGAAGGGGGAGGAAGGCGGAAGAAAGGAAAAGAGGGCATGACTGTAGTGCTGAGCTGCAGCCCACAGTCCAGTCACCTGAAGTCTGAGAATTCAGTATAGTATAGCAAGATATCCTGAGACGGGAGAGAGCACATTCATATCTTTTGTTAAAATCTTTTGTTATAACTGTATGTTTTTACTTATTTATCTTATTTAGGTCTTTTATTTACAGGAAGGGAACAAATTTCATGCATACACTTTTATGAGCATAATGATATTTCCCACCCCCCTCCTCCCTTCCCTCACTCCCACTCTCTCTCCTCCTTCTTTTATTTGTCTTTTAATTTTTACAGTTACATACTTTGAATTTACTTTCTAAACACAGGCTTAAC